GACCAGCCTGTCAGTGACAGAAAAGTATTGCTCCATATGGAGAACATGCCAGATGACGAACTGGATGGGAGTTTTCAAATGCAGTCCAAAGGTTTCTGTTCCTATATCTTCACCCATGCAAAACCCAAGACCCTTGGAGAGGGGATCATGGTCACAGGGGGGAGGTGAGTCTCTCATCCCAGGCTGTCCCTCTGTGGGTCAGGGTGTGTGATGGAGTTGGGAACACATTCTGGGTTTGTCAGCAATTGTGTTTTCTTCTGTATGTAAGGTGGGAAAGCAGATGTTCATGCCACACATAGAAATGCTTGCTTGTTTATTAAATTTTTCCTACATAAGGGTTGTTGAATCCTATCAACTCTTATAATAAAATAAACTAATAGTATAAGGACAGACTCCTAGTAAGGAAGGAAAAATGCTGGTTGATGAGACTTCTGATGGGATAAGTGTTTGTAGAGAAGATACACAATATGTTCTGTGAATTTGCATGAACAAGGAAACAAATACTAGGTCATGAACCATGTAGACTACCTGAGTGAGAGACAAATGTAAACACAGTATCATGTCCGGTGCTGGCTTCATGCACGTGGCCACCGTGAAATCACACGGGGCCCTGTTCTTAGATGGGCCCTGCATGGTCTAGTATTTCTGCCACTGTCCTGAAATTATTGATGACACTTTTACATGGGGACCACACTTTCATTACAAATAGTGCCCACAAACTATGTACCATATGTATTTGTGTAATTAGTTCTTTTTATTCTATTACACTGGGGAAAAATTTCATGCAGACCGTTGAACATATTTTTTGAGATCATTCACCTAATTTTATAATGTAATGCATTTGGGAATCATGAGATTGGGTGAGTAGGAGACATAGTGATGTTATTATAAAGAAGAGGATTCATGGAAGAAAGAGAAGAAGAAGACAGTATGAAGATAAGATGAAGATGAGAAGAAAGCGGAGGAATAATAAACGCAGTGAAATCGTAGTGATTTTTAGAATACTGATCTCTAAATATAAAGAAAAACCCAAACAACCAAACAGTTAAGAAATATCTCTGCTGCCCTAAATAACCTGTGTCACTCAGGACTGGGGACGCTGTCGGTGACCTATGTGGACACCATCAACAGTGGGGCAGTTCCTTGTTTGGAGAACGCAGTGATGACTCTGGCGGAGCGTGAGAACTCAGCGGCTGTGGAGAAGGCAGCCACCCACTACAGCAAGCAGATGGCCCAGCGTGTGACCCTCCCCACGGACACACTGCAGGGGCTGCTGGAGGTGCATGCAGCCTGCAAGAGGGAAGCCATCACAGTCTTCATGGAGCACTCCTTCAAGGATGACAAGCGGGAGTTACAGAAGTTTGTGGTAATATGCCTTAGAAGGTATCCTTCCTCATTCTGTTCTTCTGGAATGATCCTAGACTCCATCTTTTGTCCCCATGGTTCGTGTGCTACTCATTATAAAATGAGTTTAGATTCTTATTACTGACAAGCCTCTGTGGGCTACAGTCCATTATTTTTCTAAAAGTTGGGCTGTTTATTTTCGACTGTGAAACACAAATTACCCTCTGCTTAGCAGCGTAAGCCAACACACCTTTAGTGGCTTCTGTTCCTTCAGGTCAGCTCCCAGCCCAGGGCACATGGATGGTCTTCTCAGTGCACTCTGGCTGGAGGCATGGTTCAAATGATCTTGGTCCTCACATGGAGGCTCTGTGGAACAGCGCTCCATCTTAGAGGCAGCCATGGTGCATTGCATCTGCATCTTTTTTCTGATCTCTCTGACTTCCTCTTCTGCTATCAACAGGAGAAAACACCTTTGAAAGGACCTGCGATTAGGTAATGTCCACTCGGGTAATCTCCATTTCATAGTATCAGCCTGTGCAGTGTAACATAATTTAAACAAGGGATGAGTGTTCATTGTATTCACAAGTCTCAGGACTCTGTAGACTGTGGACACCAGTGAGGACAATCCTTGGAGATCACAATTCTCCTTGCCATAGGCACTTTTACTGAAATTTTGAATATTGACCATCCTACAAGTTACAAATATCTTAGTTCACATAGAGTAAATCCAGCTCAATTGTAATTTATCACTATATGCATAAAAGCCTGTTCCTATATTTTCACACACTCAAATCCTTAATGAAAAAAGAATCCATGAAGAGTTCAGAACTCTGGTTAGTGTGTAGATAATAATAGGCAAGTGACTTGCTAAGTATATATTTTAATCCATAGCTCCCAAGTTTGCAGAAGAAACTCTACTTCCATTCATAATCAAAATTTCATTTGTGTTGTGGGTGAATGGCTGACTGTTAGTCCTAATACTGTTAAGGGAATCATGGACATCACACCTGCCAACCCCAACATTTCTCAGGTGTGGGGTGTGAGACCGCAGGGGTTCAGCAACTTCCCACAAGGCACACAGAGAGCTGGTCAAAACTTGGACTAAATCTGGTCTCCTGACTCCATGTCTATTACTCTGAGTCTCATACACCCTGATGCTGTCAGCCTGCTTCTTCCAAAGGACCGCAGTTGGACTTTCCCTCTAACAGCTTCTTTCTATTGGATTTCCCCACATTTCCCTGGCAGGTCACCATCCAGAAAAGGAAGGAAGAATTCTTGGTGCAGAATGAAGAGGCCTCTGTCAAATACTGTCAGGCTGAACTTCAGAAGCTTTCAGAGCCCTTGATGGAAGGTATTAAGGAAGGAATTTTCTTTGCTCCTGGAGGACACAAGCTCTATTTAGAAACAAGGGATGAACTGGAACAGGGCTATATGCTGGTGCCTGGGAAAGGGGTCAAGGTGAGGAGTAAGGGGGTGGGGAAAGAACAGCAGATTAGAGTCAGAGGATCTGTGTTGATTCACGTGGTTGCCAGGTCCTGCCTTGTGCAGAAGCCACTATCTGCTGCTTAGGAGCAGGTAATCAGGAGGCTGACTGTGGAGCCCTGAGGGACTTTAGTGCTGGGTTACTGGTGAGGGGAGTAAGGGTCCAGGAGACCCTGGGATGTTGGCTACCCACTGCTGGCTGAAGCTAGGTCCCAGAGCTTTTGGGGCAAAGCTAACTCTGAGGACAAAGCCAGGTCCTGGGTCTGGTTGTAGGACCCAGCAGTCCCAGAGCATGTGTTGGGTCACTGTTGGTGAGACCCTGTTTCTGACACTGTTCATTGCTGAGCCTCAGATGTCTTGAAACTTGTGTTGATCTGCTCGTTGGGCAGAGCCCAAGCCTAGGTGGTCTGGCTGAGTCTGGCCTGCTACTGGGGTGCCGGGACTGCCACGTATAAGACTGAAGCTTTATTGTGGCTGGTGTCTTCCCAGTAGTGGGTGGAGCTGGGCCCGTGGTCTCTGGTTGCATGGCAGTGCCCTGGTGGCTTCAGGTCTAGTGCCTGTGTGCTGGTGTGATGTGCTCGGTCAGAACCCATGTAGAGATTGCTGTGGGCTCAGGAGGTCCTAAGGCAGCCTGTCTGCTGATGGGTGGGGCTGTGTCCATGCTGAGCTAGGTTCTTGCCTCGGGCGTCCCAGCACTGTCACCTGCAGACCACTGGGTAAGGGTGGTGCTGAATCTTGGGGCTAAAATTCTAGAGAGAACATTCCAAAATGGTGATTGCCAGCACCACATCCACAAGGTAGAAGGAGCTCCCTCAAATGGTGCCAACAGTGTCTGTCCCCAAGGTGAGATGCAGGTGCCCTCTGCCTCTCTGGGACACTCTCCAGAATCAGCAGGTAGGTCTGCTCCTGGCTCCTCAAATTAATGCTTCTGCCCTGGGTCCTGGGTCTAGGACCGTGTGAGGTTTTGTGTGCACCCTTTAAGGGTAGATTCTTGGGGGTAGGATACAGCTCAAGGGGAAGAGGATAGAGCTCAAGTGGTGGAGCACATGCTTAGTCTTCACTAGGTCCTGAGTTCGATCACCAGTACCTGCTCAAAAGCTAAATAAATAAATAAACTTAATTACCCCACACCAAAAATAAATAAATAAGTAAAAAACTTTAACAATCTGTTACCATCAAAACAAAAACAAAAACAAAATACAAGCAAACAAAAAAGAGTATTCTCTATTTTCACAATCCTTCTGGGACTCCCAAAAGTGAGCCCCACTGGCATTCCCTCCATGTCTTCCTGGTGCTAGACTTCTTGCTGGGGAGCCCAGCTTTGTGTTTGGTCCTCTCACTCCTCTGGGAGTTGTGAATCTCTTCCTGTTGTGAATAACACACCTGGTGAAGAAATCTATCTACACTGCAGCTTCCCCCCTTCTATCTATATTCTTGTGGTTCCTTCTTCATGCCTTCAGTTGTAGGAGATTTTTTCTGATAGACTCTGGTCCTTTTCATGGATGGTTGTTCTGCAAATAGTTGTGTTTTTGTTGCCCTGTGAGAGGAGGTGATCTCAGGGTCCTTCTGCTTTGCTGAGTTGCCTAGACAATCAATTTTGGAATCAGAACAATGATGTTGGTACTCCTGTTATCCTCATTGTCAAATTGAGAAATTAATGCATGTAGATGTAAGTTGCCTGTGATCACACTGCCCTCAAGTGGTGGAGCTGGTGCGGCAGCTGCATGTTCTCAAAAGCATTTCAGAGTTCAGAAGGATTCTTAGGACAGCTTCCTGGAAGAGGAGATAGAAGTCATAAGTTGAAGTAAAAAAAATAAGTGAAATTATAACAAAGAAAGTGTAGATGAGCATCATTCTAAAACAAAAAGGAAGGAAAACGATGGGCAGTTGGTGTGGTTGCAAATATGGAGAATGTTTGTCTGTGGAGCTGCACACGATCTTGACATCTGTTGAACTGTGTGGTCCTTTGAAAGATGAAGATTTCACAAGGTACAATCTGTAGTTTTACAGAACAGTCATTTCCCCAACAACAGAATTGTTCTTGGTTGCCTGGCAAGTCCTTGCTTCTTACTGTTTCCTCAGGGAAATGAGGTCCTGCAGAGCTTCCTGCAGTCACAAGCAAAAGTGGAGGAAGCCATCCTGCAGGCAGACAAAGCCCTCACTGACGGGGAGAAGGCTGTGGCAGGTACGGGGCAGGGATGAGCCCACAGACGGGAAGGTGGTTCCTGTGCTGCTCTTTGACTGGTGTGACAACAAACACTTCCTGACACCAGGGACTTCTTTTCCTTCCATGGGAGCTCTCTGATATGTCTGAAGACAACTCTGGGAGGTTGGGTTGCATTTACGTCTGATCAGTGCCTTTCCATCCCATGCTGAAGCATGTTTTCCTGATGTGGATTGCCTCCTGCCATTTTAAAGTCACTTTAGTGGCTGAACTCAGGAGGGTACAGCACAGCATAACTGATATTTCTTCCCTCTTGAAAATTGTTGTGAAAGAGTCAAACGTGCCAAGAAGCAGGCCGCTGAGAGAGAACAAGAATTGCTAAAGGAGAAACAGAATGAGGAAGAGCAAAAGCTGGAGATGCAGGAGTGAAGCCTCAAGGAGAATCTAGCGCAGCTGAAAGAGAAGATGAATAGGGGGAGAGAAGACCTTCTGAAGCAGCAAGAGAGGGTGATGAAGCACAAGATGAAGGTAGGTCTGGAGGGGCCTGGGCAACACCTGATGGATGATACCCAAACTCCTTAGGAAGAAAGTAGCAGAAATTCTACATTAAGTCGGATCCCATAGGGAAATCTGAAGACATTTGATTCATTGTAACTTCAAAGGGGTGTGGACCGAGCAGGAGGCTTATGTCTGTAAGACTGAGGACTTCCTGTAGTGTTAGGTTTCACAGGGTCTAAATAACATGACCTGGGTTCCTAGGCTGCTACTTGCAGTGATACTAGGGCCTCACCTGCCCCAAAAGAACAGGACTCAGTCCTGTAGTTCTTAGGAATTTCAGTACAACCATCAGAGACATGAAATAGACCTGCTCCTGAAAGTACCAGATTGTGCCTTGTAGGAAAGCTCTACAATTTGCAGCCTTTGTTTCCAGGTCCACCTGACTCATGTTATACACCTTGAGTCAATGCATTCTTTGTCCCAAACTGGTGTTTGGTGGCAAGTGTTCTAAAGAGTGACCAGTTGCCATTATCTCTGACATATGTGTGATCTTCTTATCCCAGGAGAATAGGAAGTAACTGCAATTCACCTACATTCCCTCCTGAATTGCATTCTTAGGCCTGGAGCTCATGTCTGGACAGTTCTCAGGCCTGACCTAGGCTCACACTTCCCCACCCAGTGCCATGGTTCTGAGGGACCATGGGAAAATGTAAACCCTGCCCAGGTCCATATGTTTGCATATATTGGCCAAACGTCAGAAAGCATCTCAGGTATAGAGAAACAGAGACAGGTGCTTAGCTGCTGCATGTGTTAGAAACCCAATGTTGATGCCTGGGTGTTTTCAAAAGGGGGTCCTCTCCTTTTCACAGATGCAAGAAGAACTACTGAGAGATGGATTTAAAGAGAAATCTGAGGCATTAACTAGTGAAATAAATAAACTAAAAGAAGGCATTGAAACAACCAAAAAAAGTCACCCCTTCAAGATGTCCAAGCTCCTGGATGTGGCTAGCATCACCTTAGTTGTAGTGCTACCTGGGTATTTTAAACTAGTTGGTATTGGGCTGAAAGTGTTCAGTGAGGTTCTTAAAAGGTCAGAGAACTCCTCTTAAGTATATTTTGGAAGATTTCTTTTGTTTGAATAGAGTAACAGTGTAGCTCATTTAAAGAAACGTGTCACGGTAGTTTTGTTCAAGGAAAGTTTAAACATAAAACATGATTACCAAAGAGATACTGATGTGATTACAGGGCCTGATGTCAAAAAGAACAAAAAAAATGGATTGAATTAGTTAATTTGAACAAATAGAAAAGAAGTTGCAAGATAATGATGAATTATAGAAAAGCTTTAAGAAAAGCAAAACAACAAACAGTAAGAAAACGTATGCTCGCCGTCGGTAATACCAGCACGGAGGTCACCTCTTTAAACTATAACAAGCCCTTTTGACTCAGTGAGAAGAGAGTGACATCCACATCTTTTAAAATCAGCAAAAATATACAAAGAGAGTAAAAGTATTTAACTTCACTGACTCTGAAAGATGGACAACGTAAAACCAGGAAGTTCCTGTGTCAGATCTCAGATGGGCCGCATGGACCAGGTTGGTCAGGACACTGATGGCTCAGGAGCCCAACGGTGTCTTATCTCCAGCAGGGAGAAAGTCCATGGTCCCAATGTACATCCAACTTTGAAATGCAAATGCCATTGATCCAGCAAGACAGCATTTGGGAATTCACTTTATAGATTTATTGACCCAAATTGAAAATGGCATAAGTAGTAGCATGTTTGATGCAAGACTGTTGAAATTCCACAAGACTAGGAACAACTATCAAGGCCTGTCACATACTGGGGAGGTCAGTATTCCGACATGCCAACAAAGGACCACTCTGCACTCATTGAAATGAAAGGGGAGCTCTATTTGTGCTAACATGGGGAAATCTCCAAGATGTTTCTAACGTAAGTGAAAAATAAAGATGCAGAACACGTGTGTAGTTGTAGTACTGACTTTTTAAAAAATACATATATGCACCTATTATCATGAATCTCCAGAAACTACAAGAGAACCTGGTACCCATGAGCTGAAGTCTCCTGGGATGTTGGCTAAAATGGTCCCTAAACACCAACCCCACATTCATAAAGATGATGATTTCAAAAGGAAATTACTCTTCAAAGTCAACTGAAAGTTTTAGGAATTCTTAATTGTCTATGGCTTAAGACCCCTGTGGTTACAATCAAATGCTTGTAATTTCACAACTGCACATAAATCTGACTCTGGGAGTTGGCACACAGAACACAGGCTTCCCTATGTACCCCGGCTTCCTCACTCGCTACCCGTTATGTGTTAGTATCTGTTCCTCCCTCCAATCTCCTGTTTGCTGATGTCCTGAGCATGGATGAGACATCCCCCCTCCGTGCTGCCTATTGTCCCAGGTTGCCCTCATACTATATGACTTGTTATATAACTTTGAACTTGAAATGGCCTATTTACAGTTGTCTCCCCTGCCATCTCAGGATCTCATCTACTGGATGATCTTCCACACTGTGTATTTAGCTCACACCACAAAGCTCACCACATAAACACTGGGGTTTCAATTAATACAGGTAAAGAATCACATAAGCTGCCACACAGCAGGGCCCCCAATTCCCATTTCCTGACTTTATTAACTGCTTCCCCGGGGTCTCATACCAAGGGACACAGTTTTAGGAACTAGTGCTCAAGGGCAGAAAGTGCATGCACACCTGCCTGAACCCGCTGCCCTCCTCTCTGAGGAACTGACCACTCCATGTTCTCTGAGTTCCTCAAGTTTCCCTCCAATGAATCTTACCCAGCAAGGAAGCCACCACCATCTGTGACTCACACCACAAGGACATGAATTAACAGAGTGAAGAAAGAGCCCATCACCTGCAAACCTTTCAGGTCTACCATAATACCTCAATCTGGTCAAGGGTTGTCTCTTAAGATAAAACTATGCTTTTGACATGAGGATTGATTTCTCACTGAACGTGATGCCCACAGGATGACAGACTGTGGAATCAACAGGCATAGCTCTGCTTTCTTGAGGGCTATGAGCTGATGCTGAATTGCCATTTCCCTGACCAAAGCCACTGGAATAAGTCCCACCACTGGTCCAGCCCCCAAAGACCCTTGGGTATCAGCAGAGGATGGCCCTGAGCCCACCGAAGGTGTGGGTGGTCTGGTAAAGGGGGTGAGGTGCTATGCTGAGTGCTACCTCATCAAGTCCCCCAGGGCACGTACAAGTATACGAGCAGGAAACCGGAAACAGTAGTTGATAACAGGAAGTGACCATGGTTTAGAGAAAGGAAGGCTGTGGGAGTGGGGGAATGGACAAAGCAGAGGAAGAGGAATCTTCACCAACTCTGATGTTGACTTACAAGTTGTCACGGGTGGAATAAAGTTATATACATTTCAAGGTAAGGGCCCAAGTGAAAGGCCTCTCCCATACTTGAAAATTAATACATAATTGTTAAATTACTGGAGGAATCCAAGGCCTATGCAAGTACTTTCTCATCCATTCTGCAGGAAGGCTGCATTTGAACCATTCTTCTGCACATGCTTTGGTGCAGGAACAAGCGAGCTGCTCTAGACAGTTCTGTGTTCCTTCTCCCTTTCCCTCAGATCTGTGTGTGTAGTCCTCCTCATGAGTGCTCCCTCGCCTGTGAGCTGGGTGGTACGTAGTCCTTGCAGATGTGTTTATGAAAGAAAGTCTTCAGTGTTGCAGATGGTTGCAGGAACTCATTACAAATGCAAAGAAAATTAGAGGACACTTTTCATTAAGAATATAGGGGAAGAGCTGAAGGAAGCGAGACATGAGACAGTGTCAGGTGGTGTCCCTTTGCCTCCTCAGGCTTAGGTTCATTCTGCCAGTGTGTCTATGCTGAGTGAACCACAGGCAAGAACACAAAGAGCCTGTCTGCACCCTGTGGGGAGTCCTTCTCTGTGAAGCAGCGGTCCAGCCCATGGTGGATGCCATGGGCAGCTGGCATGTCCTCTGGTACTGAAGACCTGATGGAGTGTGTGTCCTCTATTGGGCCAGGAGAAACAAGGCACCAAGAGCAAATCCAGGAGCTGCACAGCTGGCAGGAGCCCCGGGGTGGCCGACCTTATGTCCTGTTCATGTTAAGGCATAGGGACCTGTCCAATTCTCCTAACCCATCATGTGCTTTAAGCCCTGCTGACTTCCTTACTGCCTAAGACTCTCATGCCAGTTAACAAACTCTATGTTGTTTATTCAAAACAAAATGCTTCCTGTACAAAATCACTTTGAGGATTTTTATTCTAGATTTCATCCATTCACATTCTATTAACTACTCTATGGGTATAAATTAGAGTCAGCATATGTACACACACCATGCAGTGTATTCTGAAATATTTCATGTTAATTACAAATGGACAAATAAGTCTTTCCATTTGCTACCTGCTGTTGTCCTGAATCTTTGTCTCCTGCTTCCTCACTTGAGTCAAACCCCTTTATTGACCCTGCAACTTCATCAGCTGTCCCTGGTTTCTGTCCATGTCAAGGGGACAAGTGAAATCCCTCATTGTGGTGACATTTCATAGGCAGCCTATGGGATTAGGAGAACGTATCTGTGTACACTGACCATGTTTATGGCAGAATTTGGGTAATGTTACTGATTATCAAATACTCACCTGAAAAAATAAATGAAAAATGGATTTCAATCACTGATACCTAGCGGAAAATTTTTCTTAAAATAAATGATTCATGTTTTTCAAACAAAAACTACTTTCTTGTTGTGTATGTATTCTTGTATAATTATAACATAATTCAAAGTCATTAGCCATTATTTTATGGGCTGTAAGTCCTGTCAGTTGGACTTACAGGTCAGTCTCACTGCTTATACATGTGGTCAAAGGCAACAGCTCCTCAATTAGCCTGTCATTCTCCTAATTTGTGTTTACTTTTCTCACATAAGGATCTCTTTGGTTGGCTTAAAATTGGATCTGAGGTCAAATCTTGAGTACAACCAAGTAAATAAAATAAATGAAAAGAATAATACATTAAGATGACACATTCTGAAAAATTATGAAAATGAATACATGGATGTATATGCATGACTTGAACCTTGTGCTGTTCATCAGAAATTGATACATTGTAATTAACTGTAGCTCAATTTAAAAATAAATTAATTTTTAAAAATATGATGCATTCAAAGCATAAATGAATGAGTGGGGAGGGATGGTGTAAAGAGTGCTATTGATCTGACACAAGTAGGATTGAGAAGATTTGCTTTTCACCTCTGTACATCCCCCAGGCCCCTTGTGTCAAGCAGAGCTGGAGTGTGGTCTGGCTTCTCAGGTTGAGGCACACACCACACCCAGATGCCCTTCATGTGAGACTGCACCGTGCAGCCCAGAGAGGGGGTGCAGGGAGAAAAGGGAGTGGAGTTTTAGTAGCAGACAGAGCCAGAAATTGAATAGAACTAACAAAGTCTGAGTTAAAAGAGATAAATAAAACCATAATGAGTATTGGTCTTAATTACAACTAGATAAAGAGAGAAATTTGAATGTCCAGTACAAACTGAAAGGTTTGTTTTTACCTTAAAAATCAGTGTTAACTTGTATGACTTTTTTTAAATTATTACCTTAGTCCTTCCAGAAAAGCATATTTATACTTTAAGGAGGAAGTTAAGGCAAAGTGGAAA